CTGTGAACACTGTGGTTTTGTATGCAATGTATTACAGGTGACAGTGTTCAGAAATTATACTGACACTGGACTTCTTGTTTGGGGTGGGGGAGCGTTGGGGCTAAAGGCTAGTACTGGCAGTGAACGGGGATGATCCTGCCAACACTGCATTTTTGGGGACACTAATACTACGGGGCACTGGTATAGTTTTGTTCGTGATCAGTATATTGATCCGTACAAACACTATACTAGTAATGAAGGTGATAGGCGACCTATAGCATGAGTGTGATAGTGTGCGGGCAATCTAACGCTAGCTGATCCTAGCTGGGAGGGACGCTAACTGACCCTATATGATGTCGCTAGTGGCACTAATACAATGATCAGTGAAAAATACTGTACACTGACACTGTACTAATGGTACTGGCAGGAGGAAAAGGGTTAAATGTGGCAATCAATGGGTTAAAATGTCTCTAAGGTGTGTGGGTGCAGTGTGCTGGTTTACTCACATGCATCTCTCTTCTCTCGCTGGAACAAAATGGTTCCAGGGAGAGAAGAACCAGCTAGATCCTGTGCCTGTATTTACAAATACAGGCACAACTATGCATCTCCATTCACTGTAGATCGGCAGAGTCCTGGCCAAAATCACTGGCTGAGACCTGCTGACATACACCTCCTATAACGAATGAGAGCGGAGTCATCAGGGGGGCGCGTGTATGCGCGCTCTAAACCCAGAAGAGCATAGCAACGTACGGGTACATTGCTTTGCCTGCAGCTGCTGCCTGTCCACAGTACATTGTGGGCGTGCGGGAAGTGATTTACAGTGTCCCTTCTATTTCTGTATATGGATGATGGCCCCGTAATTTTTTTTTTTTTCTTATGTGACCAGCAGCAGAGGACTAGAAACTCATCCTGCTTATGTTTGCCTGCAGACAGGCTGGGAAAGAGCTGAGTCACGTGACAGCTGTATATTGGTTAGGAAAAAGATGCTTAGATGTGTTTATTTTTTTTATTACAATAAACAAACAAACACCACATTTCTAAGCACCTTTTTCCTAACCAATATACAGCGGTCATATACCTCAGGCCTTCCCCAGCCTGTCTGCAGGGAAACATAAGCAGGCAGAGTTTCTAATCCTCTGCTGCTGGTCCTGTTTAAAAAAAATAAAAAAAAAAAATTACGGGGCCATCATCCATATACAGAAATAGTTGGTAAAATAAATATCAATAAACGGTTTTAAACTGTCATACACAAATCTACACTGCTCAAAAAAATGTCAACTAAAGTCCTGGGATATTGATCTGGTCATTTAAGTAGCAGAGGGGGGTTGCAGGTTCAGCTGCTTTGGTGTTAATGAAATTAACAACAGGTGCACTAGATGGGCAACAATGAAATGACCCCCAAAACAGAAATGTTTTTACAGGTGGAAGCCACTGACATTTTTTTTTTCCCATACTCATGTTTTCTGTTTTTCACTGTTTTTTCCATTTGGCGATGGTCAGTCTCACTACTAGTAACATGAGGCGATATCTGGAACCTACAGAGGTTGCAGAGGCAGTCCAACTCCTCCAGAATGGCACATCAATATGTGCCATTGCCAGAAGGTTTGCTGTGTCTCCCAGCACAGTCTCAAGAGCATGGAGGAGATTCCAGGAGACAGGCAGTACTCTAGGAGAGCTAGACAGGGCCATAGAAGGTCCTTAACCCATCAGCAGGACCGGTATCTGCTCCTTTGTGCAAGGAGGAACAGGATGAGCACTGCCAGAGCCCTACAAAATTACCTCCAGCAGGCCACTGGTGTGAAGATCTCTGACCAAACAATCAGAAAAACAGACTTCATGGTGGATGGCCTGAGTGCCCAAATTCCTTTAGTGGGCCCTGTGCTCACTGTCCGCTACCACAGAGCTTGACTGGCATTTTCCATTGAATAGCAGAATTGGCAGGTCCACCACTAGCGCTCTGCTTTTCACAGATGAGAGAAGGTTCACCCTGAGCACATGACAGACTTGAAAGGGTCTGGAGAAGCCACAGAGAAAGTTATGCTGCTTGTAACATCGTTCAGCATCACCCTGTTGGTGGTGGGTCAGTGATGGTCTGGGGAGGCATATCCATGGAGGGATGCACAAACCACTACAAGCTATACAATGGCACCCTGAATGCCATTAGGTATCGGGATGACCCACTGTCAGACCCTACACTGATGCAGTGGGTCCTGGGTTCCTCCTGGTGCACAACAATGCCTGGCCTCATGTGGAGAGTATGCAGACAGTTCCTGGAGGATGAAGGAATTGATACCATTGAATGGCCCTCCACGCTCTACTGAGCTAAATCCAATAGAACACCTCTGGGATATCATGTTTCAGTCCTTCTGACACCACCAGGTTGCACCTCAGACTGTTCAGGAGCTCAGTGATGCCCTGGTCCAGATCTGGGAGGAAATACTCCAGGACACCATCCGTCGTCTCATCAGGAGCATGCCCAGACGTTGTCAGGCATGCATGCATACAAGCAAGTGGGGGCCATACAAACTACTGAGCATCATTTTCAGTTGCTGTAATGAAATTTCAGCAAAATGGACTAGCCTGCTGCATCAATTTTTTTAACTGTGATTTTTTTTTTTTTAGCAACAACATGGTGTGGGCGGATTTCTGCCTGTCACTGGCTGTGTCATGTCCTTCCAGCCTGTCTCTAAAATTAAGAGGATGGTAAAGCCCCCAACAATCTGCATTAAATATCTAGCCCCCATTGTGTTTAGCTGAGGAGAAGGAGGGAGGGGGTTGGCCAGGGTATGACAAATCCAAGGCACCAGAGGTCACCAAGGAGACTAGAAATTGGGTTCACAACACTGCCTCCGACAGACTTCAATGGGAAGTCGCGCGTGCGCGCCAGCCCCTATAGACTTTAATGGGAAGTCAAGCACCCCCCCCCCATAGATGTCAATGCAAAAACTCCTTTCAATAGCAATCCTATGTTCACATAGGATTGCTACTCTACTGTATCTATTGCAAGTGCAACGCTCTGATACAAATTTGCACAGGACCCTTTTCATAATAGCACTTAAAACACAATGCATTTGGACCGCATCTTTGTGAACCACCTCAATAGGAACACAAAATACCTAGCCTGTCACAGGAATTTCAAACGAGTAAAGAATCGCATATGTGTGAACCAGGGTGGCTCCATTCACACCTGAGCATTTTGGTTTCGCAGCAGAATCAGTGCGATCGCACAATGCAGGTCCATTATTTTCAATGGCGTCTAAAACATGGTGCAGTTTTGCCGCGATTGCCGCGGGAAGTCCCAGGCACCGACAACCCAAACTAAAAAAACAAAAAAACACAATGGTTCCTAGATTCAAAGCAAATTTTGCTGGGGTGGCCTGTTATTTGCCACTATATATATGCCCACATGTGTGACTATGGAATTCTGAAGGACCCTCTGCACACTGGTATATACCCTTTCAAGCAGACTTTGCAATAAATAGGAATATTTAGTTTACACATATTGCAATACATGCTTAACCCCTTCACGCCTAAGGGTAAAACAAATCTAAAGGCCTAAGCACAATTCTGCACCGTTGACATGTGATAGCAAAACCGTACATATCATCACAACTACTTTGCACATCCAGGTGGATTATACCTTGATTTTTCTCAGGACAAATTGGGCTTTCATTTGGTGGTAAATGGTAATGGATATCTCCTGATTTTTTTTTTTATTATCAAAGGAAAACTGGCCAAAAATAGTAAAAAAAATCCTTTTTTTTTTTATTTAGCTATGTGTTTCTTGTTATGACCATAACCTACCACCAAAGAGCAACCCAAAATAAATTCTCCAGCTCTTGACGATCGCAGCGATACCATATATGTGTATGTTATTTGTTGTTTGTACCCGTAGTACAGCCCAGAAACCATAGTGCGCATTTTGTTTTTGTCTTTTTTTTTTACCTAAAAACACACTAACACTAACTGACACTGACATTAACACTAACTGACACTGATACCAATTTTTTTTTAAATCCTGACCTTGACCTTTGACCTTGAGCCTGACCTAAACACTAACCCTGGCACTGAACTAGATCAAACCTTGATCTAGGTATTTTTTTTTTATTTTTTATTTTTTTTAATATTTATTTATTTATCTTTTTTTTTTTACAAACTTTTTTTTTTTCTTCTCTCTGACAGGAGTTCGAGAGATACAAGGTATCTCTCTTTTCCATTCATAGGAGAGAGAGAAAAAAAAAACAAGGGGGGCCGGGCTGCACAGTGACTGATCACTGTGATAGCCAATCAGAGGCTATCACAGCGATCATGTGACCCGGGACCGGGAGTCCCGGGTCCCGATCGTTAGAACGGGACCCGGTGCTCTCAGTGACACCGTGGTCTCGGTGCTGGGAGCGCGCTGAGGGGCGCGCTCCCAACACAAAGACAGGTACGCAAATATGCGGCCCCACGGAAAAAAGCCCAGGTCCGTGAGGCTGCATATTTGTGTTACGTCGGCGTCAAGAGGTTAAGCTAGCCACTGCATCAAAGTAATCCCTCTATGGCCAGTCCTACTCTGCGCTGCCTACGCAAATGCTACTGTGGACACAATGCCAACATAGGGCAAAAGACAAAGTGGGGGAGAGCTACCAGGTTCAGGTCTGGCTACTGACCCAACAAAATAAATAAAAGCAGTAACAGATTAGAATATAATAAGAAAAAAATTGAAAGCACCTCTATCACCCCTACACCTCCTAGAACACAAACACACTCGTAGGACACACGTGTATAATTAAAATTGCGCAACAGTTTGTTAGTGAAAACCAAGATTTAATAAACAATTCTTCAAATATTGTGCAATATAAAAAAAAAATTTAAAAATTAAAGTGTCTTTTTATTTTTGCTTTCAGGAAATATAAACACACAATGCTCTGGGGAGGGGAGTTAATTTCCAATTCAAACATGCACATTTTCATAGGTGTGCAAAAAATGAAAAAACTGCTCCAGAGGGGAAGTAGTTAAACACCAATGGATATACTTACTTTGTCCAAAGCTTATAGACACGTTGCAAAGTGACCTTAGAGGAAGCAAATGTCTAAACAGAAACAAAAAAAAAATGCATAAAATCATAATCTCACAACACATGTGGTCATCACATTTGCCTTGCAGCATTGATGTCTGGGTTCTAATCTCAGCAGGAACACAGGGTATAAAAATGTCCTCCTATATAAAAATTTAGTGCTGGATACTAGAATTTGCATGTGGGCAATTACTTATAACAAAGGAATTAGATAGTAAGCTACTTTGGTGCACGTCATAAAGTGGATGTTCTCATGCACTTAAAAGTTGTGAAAACCAGGCACTAAAGTCTTATAAGCTTTATGTTGTTAGTGTCACTTCAAAAAGGTAACTTAATATTTTTGCTGCAGTCATTAAAATATTTGGCAACAATGCCTTGTTTAGGAATTTCCTAGGATCTGTCCTTTTCTCGTCACAAGACTATGGTGTCTGTTTATGACACAGAGAATAGCTGCGTTTCAGAGGATCGCAGCTATTCTCTGGTCATTCACAGTTTATGACACTCAGGAGATCAGCGGAGAACATGTTCAGCCCTTCACTGGAAATCTGTGTTCTCTGTCCAGATTCTCCAGCACAGAGCTGGAGAATCTGAGGAACGCAAACTAAGCAGCGATAATTTACCTCTGCTTAGTAAACAGATTTTTTACTGTAATCTCGCGAGATTATAGTAAAAGCAGCCGGTTTCCAGCGTTTGTAGACCGTTCTCCCTTCGTTCGGAGAACTGATCTACACCGCTTCATAAAAGGCATTCACAGGAGAACTGTGCTCTCCGAGAACGGAGCAGCGATCATTTACCGCTGGTTCATAAACGGACACCTAAATGTGGCCACTTCAACACATATGAACAGATCAAGACACCCTCCCTGAGAAATACCATTCAGCAAATCGACTCATACACTGTGTACAGTTACTAGGCAAGTTAATATTTTTTTTTGTTTACAAACGTTTTTATTTTGCAAAATAGACTGTAAAAACAACAGTACAGTTTCAAATGACATTAACAGCAAAACAAGGCACTTTTGAAAAGTACAATACATAAAATTATAATATAAGAAATAGAAAAAAAAGTAAATTGCAAGTACATGAAATGTGTGGACGATTAAGTAGGCGATACATTACTTCTGTCAGCAGTATATGCCAGTCAATCTTCTTGGGATGTTATTAAACATGTAATAAATGTCTATAATCCTTCCAAGATTCCCATTTTTTTTATCAAATAAGCGTATCTTATCCAATAGGGTTTAATGAATACATTCCATGAGCATCCCAGCATCAACTCTATGCAAAACTGTGGTTAAGGGTACAGTGTTGGACTTCCAATGTGAGGCAATAGCCCACAAAGTGGCAATACAAATAGTATATATCAATCTCATAATGTCATTAGAGACCCCTGGGATATGAGCCCCCAATAAACAGGTCTGTATAGACAATTGCACTGGGATACCCACCAATGAGGTAGCCACCTCAGATAAAGGCAAGTTAATATTTTGACCAAATCATAATTTTTATGCATATTGTCCAACTCTAAGCTGTACAAACTTGAATGCCTATTAGATTTAAAGCAGAGTTCCAGGTGAATTAAAAAAAAAAAAAAGTCAGCAGCTACAAAAATTGCAGTTGCTGACTTTTAAAATACAGACAGACACTTACCTGTCCCTCGGTCCAGCGGTGTCCTCACCACGGCTGGTTTCACCAGCCGTCTTTTCTCCCCAGAGCCACCATCTTCAGTTTGGGCACCGGGCTGTGACAACTTGCGGATTCACAGCCAGGTGCCCACTGCGCGAGTAGCGCTGTGCTCTGTGAATGGTTCCGTAGTCTTCTGGGACCTGTCACGTGTCCCAGAGGACTACTGGGAAAAAGGGGGGAGGACAACTTCCACTTACGATCACCTAAGATGATCACACCGGAGGTGGGAGCGAGTACCTGTCAAATTTGGATACCCGCTCCCCACAATCCCCAAAAAGGTGCCAATCCTTAACAAGGAACAAGGAGCAGAGGAATAAGCTTTAAAACTTCCCCCATTTTGGGTGGAGCTCTGCTGTAAGCATATTAGATGGTGTGTAATGAAGGAGGGTGTGGCCTAAGGAAATCAACATCTTATATCTTTTCTTTTCCTCAGGCAAAATGGGCCAAAAAAGATTTAACTAACTGAAAAGTCAAAAATTGTAAAAAACAAAAAAAAAAAAAAACACGTCTTTCAGAGGGATGCAATACTCCTGAAATTGCTAGGATATTGGGGCGTGATCACAGGACCAAACATTTTGTTGTAAATAGGCAACAGGGTCACAAATAACTTGTTGGGGAAAAGAAAAAAAAAATACGTAAATTAACTGCCAAAGATTTGAGAAGAATCAAATGTGAAGCTACCAAGAACCCATTATCCTCCAGTGCTGTTGTATTCCAGAACCGCAACCTACCTGGAGTGCACAGACGCACATGATGTTCAGAGAAATGGTCAAGGTAAGGAAGGCAGAAACCCAACCAGCACTGAACAAGACAACCAAGTTGAAACTTCAGGACTGGGCCAAGAAATATCTGAAGACATATTTTTCAAAGGTTTTACGGACTGATGAGATGAGAGTGACTCTTGACGTATTAGATGGATGGGCCTGTGGCTGGATCAGTAAGAGGGACAGAGCTCCACTTCGACATAAACGCCAGCAAGGTGGACACAGAGTACTGGTATGGGCTGGTATTAAAGATTAGCTAGCTGGACCTTTTCAGGTTGAAGATGAACTCAAAGTCAACTCCCAAACCTACTGCCAGTTTTTAAAAAACACTTTCCATGACCATGATATTTATGCAGGACAATGCTTCCATCACATGCATCGAAGTTCTCCACTGCGTGGCTAGCCAGTAAAGGCCTTAAGATGAAAGAATAATTCCATGACCCCCTTCTTCACCGGACCTAAAAACTTTATTTCAAACGTTTGAGCCTTTTTATACAAGAAAACCGTAAACCTCTCTAAACAGTGTCTGGGAGGCTGTGGTTGCTGCTGCACAAAAAGTTGATAATCAACAGATCAATAAACTGACAGACTGCATGAATGGAAGGCCTATGACTGTTATTGAAAAGAAGAGTGGCTATATTGGTCACTTTTTTTTTTTTCGAAATGTCAGAAATCCTATTTGTAAATTTTGTGTTTATTACTCTCACTTTAACGGATGAAAACAAGCGAGATGGCAAAACTTTTGTTTTTCATTTATCTGCATAATAATTGTGCACACATATATTCTCCTTAGGAATCCAAAAGCTCACTTTTACTTTCTTAAATATTCAGGTTTGAGGTTTATTAACATTTTGGATTGACCGAGAGCACTGTAGTTGTTCAATAATGAAATTAATCCTCAAAAATACAACTTACCTATTCATTACGCACTGTGTATAGACAGAAGTGACTGGAAACAGGCTGCATCAGATAAGCAGCACAGGGCTGCAGCAAAGGTTGAAGAGAAAAAAAAAAAGAAAAAAAATGCATTGTGGTGCTCTGCATAGTCAAAAAAGAAGTGTCATGTGCCTTTTTGGTGGTGGTACATTGCCAGCTGGAATGGATTGCAGTACTGTCAAATATTAGCATTTCAGACTACAATAGTATGAAGAGGGCCTTGGGGGTTCACATCTATTCAACACTGACTGTCAAGGAGGCGGCCGACAGGACATGGAAATGTAAGGGTGTAAAAAAAAAAAAAAAAAAAAAAAAAATGGACACACGAAAAAATTATGAACACTCCAATTCTCCCCTACAGGCACAAGCCTTAATGTGTAAACAATTGTGCAATCTATTTATTACAGATAATTACATAGCATACATACAAAGTTACCTATGAATGGCAGAGCACCACTCAAACGGACTCTACACTGTTCAAGGTGTCTGTTTCACAGCCAGAGCCCAATAAAGTGTACTGTATATAGCTGAAGCTACATGTAGTACATAGTGCTTAGAGCCAATTACAGCACTTAATGAAGGAAATAGTTCGTTCAGGCCAGCTTGGTCCAAACAAAATATTAAAAGGGTGCAGTGCCTGCGTTTCCCGCAGAAAAAAAAAAAAAAAAAAAAAAAAAAAAAGGGCGTGTGCACCTTTTTCAAAGCGTGGCCATGGTGATTCTGCATGGTGCTTCTGCAATTCCCCTGCGATTGCCACACCAGCAAACGCACTGCGGTTTAAAATGCATGGGGATAAGAATTAATGCGTTTTTACTGCAGACATCTCTACGATTCCAGCACTCGCAGCCACCCGCTAGATCAGTGGTTCTCAACCTTTCTAACGCCGCGACCCCTTAATACAGTTCCTCATGTTGTGGTGACCCCCAACCATAAAATTATTTTCGTTGCTACTTCATAACTGTAATTTTGCAGTAGGAGGAATACTGCCCCGTCCTTGGTGCCAGTGGGGGGAGGAATACTGCCCCATCCTTGGTGCCAGTGGGGGGAGGAATACTGCCCCATCCTTGGTGCCAGTGGGGGGAGGAATACTGCCCCATCCTTGGTGCCAGTGGGGGGAGGAATACTGCCCCATCCTTGGTGCCAGTGGGGGGAGGAATACTGCCCCATCCTTGGTGCCAGTGGGGGGAGGAATACTGCCCCATCCTTGGTGCCAGTGGGGGGAGGAATACTGCCCCATCCTTGGTGCCAGTGGGGGGAGGAATACTGCCCCATCCTTGGTGCCAGTGGGGGGAGGAATACTGCCCCATCCTTGGTGCCAGTGGGGGGAGGAATACTGCCCCATCCTTGGTGCCAGTGGGGGGAGGAATACTGCCCCATCCTTGGTGCCAGTGGGGGGAGAATACTGCCCCATCCTTGGTGCCAGTGGGGGGAGGAATACTGCCCCATCCTTGGTGCCAGTGGGGGGAGGAATACTGCCCCATCCTTGGTGCCAGTGGGGGGAGGAATACTGCCCCATCCTTGGTGCCAGTGGGGGGAGGAATACTGCCCCATCCTTGGTGCCAGTGGGGGAGGAATACTGCCCCATCCTTGGTGCCAGTGGGGGGAGGAATACTGCCCCATCCTTGGTGCC